TGTAATTGATATTAGGATACTGGCTCCAACAACTTACATTTTCTTTGCGTCTGCTCTTCCGGTCATTGCTTTTGGTGAACAGTTGAGCAGGGAGACAGGTCGGTTTGTTTTTATCATATGCATAACTAGAGATATTTTGAATATATTATACCATTTTTTGCCTTTGGTTATGAGGTCCCTATTATTATACAGAGTATATTATTAACGTATGAGGGTGGTTGTGTAACAGATGGAAGCTTGACCACAGTTGAAACTCTTGCCTCTACTGCAATCTGTGGAATCATTCATTCAATTTTTGGTGGACAACCTCTATTGATTTTAGGAGTTGCAGAGCCTACAATCATCATGTATACTTATCTGTACACTTTTGCCGGCAGGAGCCCAGAAATGGGGAAGGAACTGTTTATAGCCTGGGCAGGATGGTAAAGAAATTTATTATTTCCTTATATTCTGCAAGCTTTTGGGTTTGAAAATGGATTTTTTAAGTGGAAATTTTGCATATATAATGTTGCAGGGTTTGTGTCTGGACTGCTTTCATGCTGTTTCTTCTTGCTATATTTAATGCTTGCACAATCATCACTAGATTTACAAGGATTTCAGGGGAACTTTTTGGCATGCTGATTACTGTTCTTTTTTACCAAGAGGCTATAAAGGTTTTTATATCTCCCTCCCTACAGTGTGTGAACACATCTCTGATGATACTATTGAAAAGGAAAAAGAAAATTTTTGTTGAAATGGATAAAGTTCTGTGCTCATGGTATTTGTTATCTAATCACAGGGACTAGTTAGTGAATTTGGGATTCCTAAAGGTGATAATCCTGCATTAGAGGAGTACCAATTCCAATGGCTCTATACAAATGGGTTATTGGCAATAATATTCTCATTTGGGGTACTTATAACATCCCTTATAAGCATAGAGGCTAGGACTTGGCCTTATGGTACAGGTAGGTGATCAAATGAGATACTGTGGCTACTTTATCTGATTTTGGTTAGTTTTAATATTTTGTTCTTGACCTCTACGAACAGGATGGTTGCGAGGTTTTATAGCAGACTATGGTGTTGCGCTAATGGTTGTGTTGTGGACAGCAATGTCTTATGCAGTACCTGGAAAAATTCCATCCAGTATTCCTAGAAGGCTCTTTTCTCCTCTTCCCTGGGATTCTTCATCATTGTACCACTGGACAGTGGCCAAGGTATTTCTGGTTCTATCTTGATTTTTATCCTCGTACATTTAAGACCCAATTTACTAGTTGAGATTGGACTGTGAGCTTGTGGGGTTGATGTGGAAGCACTGGGCAACCAATTCTCCTAGTAAATACTTTAAAATCCTGTTAAATATTCTAGGCTCTGTATCTGATTTCCTTTTATGCAATAATTACTTTAAAATCCTGTTAAATGTTCTAGGCTCTGTATCTGATTTCCTTTGATGCAAAGTATAAAATAGGTGTATACTTCCTAAGTTCTGCATTCACATTGAAAAATTCATGAACTCCCACTGGACATCATATATTGCAGGATATGGCAAGAGTCCCAGTAGGTTACATCTTTGCTGCCATCATTCCTGCTGTTATGGTAGCAGGCCTATACTTTTTTGATCACAGTGTAGCTTCACAGATGGCCCAACAGAATGAGTTCAATCTTAAGAAACCATCTGCATACCATTATGATATCTTTGTGCTTGGCGTCATGGTATGTATAATGTATCCTACACCTTATATTAAGCAGATTTGTAATACATTTGTTTCATAACAAAAATCTTGAACTTTGTTCTGCAGACTTTGGTTTGTGGTTTACTCGGACTCCCTCCTTCAAATGGAGTTCTTCCTCAATCACCAATGCATACAAGGAGTCTTGCTACCCTTAAAAGGATGGTAGGAAACGAGTTTAAGAATATTTCCTCTTTTTACCTCTTGTGCATACGGTGTTGATACACATTAATCTCTTTGATACTTGACCTGTAGTTGATTCGAAAGAAAATGGTGAAGACTGCAAAAGAAGGAATGAAAATGCAAGCAAGCAAATCAGAGATTTATGGGAGAATGCATGCTGTATTCATTGAGATGGAGGCATCTCCAACAGTAAGTTATATGGGTCTAAGGATATACTTGCATATCTTTGTCGTAACTTGTTTATGTATTGATAAGATTTATTTGATCCCCTGTAGCCTGTAGTGGACAAAGAGTTGGAAAATTTGAAGGAAGCTGTGCTGAAACAGGGTGATGGAGAAGACGATAAGAACTTTGACCCTGCCAAACACATTGATGCCCACTTGCCTGTTAGAGTTAATGAACAAAGAGTCAGTAACTTATTGCAATCCCTTCTCATAGGACTTGCTATATTTGCCATGCCTGTGATAAAGATGATACCAACATCAGTTCTTTGGGGTTACTTTGCATACATGGCAACTGACAGCCTCCCTGGTAATCAATTCTGGGAGAGAATATTACTGCTCTTTGTTCCTTCTAGCCGGCGATTCAAGTATGTTATGAATCAAATTAGCACACACTAATATTTTTGGCATTGCAGAACCAAGCAATAGGATTTCGGTTGTAGCTTAAAATTAATTAGTAATTACTCAATAACCCTTTCTTTTTGCAGAGTCTTGCAGAGTCTCCATGCCTCATTTGTGGAGGTAGTACCATTTAAGTATATTGCAGCTTTCACGGCCTTCCAGTTTGTGTATCTCTTGATTTGCTTTGGAGTAACATGGATACCAATTGCTGGGATACTATTCCCCTTGCCATTCTTCTTTATGATATCCATAAGAGAACACATTCTTCCAAAGTTTTTTCCTCCAGAGTACCTTAAGGAATTAGACGCCGCTGAGTATGAAGAAATTGCTGGCCGTTCAATTCACTCGAGGGAGAGGGATACGCCTCCCAAGGTACACATTTACATGGTCGTGCTCTTAGTTAGTTGGGGTAGGTTAAATATTGGTTTATGTTCTCCCATGCACATACAGATTGCTTTGAGCTATTTTTGTCTCCGATATACTATTGATCCACAATACATTCCATGTGATTTTGGTGCAACTTTCATGATATTGAATTCAATGTTTATATGAAAATCACGACTATGTTGAATAAAACATCCTCTTTGGTTCCAGGAGGGAGATGATGAAGACGACGATTACACTTCTGCTGAAATATTGGATGAGATGACCACTCGCAGAGGCGAATTGAAACACAGGTCTACCAGCGTCAATGAAAGGCATCAGGTGGTTTGTAACTCTGAAAACCAATATAATCATTCTTTCTTAGATTAGTTTTCATTTTCAATTCGGAGAACATTAACTTATTATCATATTGAATTCCAGGTTCACCCAGATGATCAACCTAGGCCATAAGAACAACCTGATGTGATTCAACGACACAAATTCACCATCAACTCCTCACGAAAGTGGCATCTTTAGGAAGGTTTATCCTTGCGTATACTCTCTGTATTGTTCATAGAACACGAGATGTAGCAAAAGGAGACTGAAAACCAAAGAAGAATAAAGGGATATATAGAAGAATGAGAGGAGATTCAGAAAATAGAAGCCACACTGAAGAGGAGTGTTTGACAATAAATTCTGGTTGTATAGTTATTTTCAGCTCTTGCATCCGGGAGAAAATAAGAAAATAATAAAAAGCAGCCAGCAGATATTGGCATTACTTGTTGATTATGGTTACTTTTTTAAACTTGTCCTTGGTTGTTTCTCTTTGGTTTGGCTAAAATAATTTGTGACTTAATGTCATATGGGGTCCCCTAAACTTTCAAATTGATAACTGTGATCTTTCGACTTTCAAATTGTTACCATCTATGGTCCAAGTTAACTACCTACGGTTTTTCAACTTTCAAAATTTAAACAACTCCCTGGAAGAACCATAAATGATTAAAATTTGATAGTTGACCACTTTTAAAATTTAAACAACTGCAGTCTTCCTGGAAGAACCATAAATTATTAAAATTTGATAGTTGACCATGGACGGGTTAACTTGGACCAGAATGGTAACAATTTGAAAACCGAAGAACCACGGATAGGATCACAGGTAGTTAATTTGAAAGTTTAAGACTAAACGTGGTAAAATTATTATACTCTGAGAGACCCATATGGTATTAACTCAATAATTTGCTTTACAATAGTTCTGAAGTGGCGTAAGCCTTAAACAGTTAAACTTTATATAATTGATGGATTCAGTTTCCATGAATTTAAAAAACAAAAGTTTGTTAATTTACTTTTGTATTGGTCTTCACTAGTCTTGTGTGATCACCTAGCCATGTAGGTGGATGGATGGTGTTCTTTCTCTTTAATTTGCACTTTAAAGTTACTGCTGATGCATAATTTTGTAAACTTTATTCTTTTTGTATAACTATTTGTTTAGAAATTAAAAAATAGGTTGAAAACAATTAAGATACTAAAACAAATTTGATATTTCAAATTGCACAAATTAGAAGCTCACAACAAATCCTTATAGACAATGTGCATATCTTAAAAGATTTTTTTTTAAAAGAAAAAATAAATAAATAAAAGAAAAAAAAAATAAATTTCTATGTGATAAGAAAATATAATAGCTAAGTTGATTGTTAATTTTTAAAAACCTTTTGACTCAGCACTCTTTGGGTGAAAAATTACATTGATCCAGCTAAGATTTGATATACAATTGTCTAAACCTAGCTAAAATGTAAAATTTCACCACTGGGCTGTATAAAAAGTAGGATTGAAGCTATTATTATTGCAAAGTTTTATATTATGTTAATATAAAAAAAAAATATTATATATACATACAGATGAGACAGTGATAAGAGGAAGTAGGAATTACAAATTGTAACCACCACCTAAGAAAAAAAAAGATTCGCTCCGTCCTATTTTACTTGTCTTACTTTCTTTTATAATTTGTCCTAATATAATGTTCTCTTTTCAAAATTGAACATAATTATCATTCTATATTTCTCAAATTATTCTTTTGGACTTTTTCACATTTTTAGACAATTAATGAGATAAGTACAATTGTACTTTGTACAAATGACACTTGGGACAAAACTGAAAAATTAGCAACATTTGTTTTGTTGCATTAAAAACGCAAAAAGCAAATGTGACGAGCAATTAGGGACGGAGGGAGTAATTATTAATCTGTATGATCAGAAGCAAGAGCTAGAACATCTCCATCCCTGATGACAGCAATGTCATCAATCAAAGCTCCCTCAGTGTTTAAAACTTTTGTGGGAGTAAACCCAAATTTCTGTGCTCCAATTTCCAACAGCTCTTTGATGGACTGAGGCAATGCCACCATCCTCCCACCTTTTTCACCCTTTTCTGGACAATTAATGGTCACTCTGGCTTGACTCTGCTGACCTCGGACTCTGAATGCTCCCTTTCCCTCTGCAAATGTTTCTGAAATGGGGGTTTCACACAAATGGTTAGTGCAACATTCTTATTATAAAAGGTCAAAAGTTGTGTCCTGGCTACTAGCTATAGCGGTTTTGGTAAGCGGTTAACATTCTCACCTTCGTTTGCAGAAGTGGGAACGGACATGAAGCCGATGAGTGATTTTCGATGGCCCCATTTAGGATTGGAAACAGTGCTACCTCCTCTAACATAAGCTGGCAATGATGGCCGGCCCTGAGACGACGAGGAGGGCCTTTGTTCTTGTATATCTCTAGAGTGCAACTGGGGAATTGCAGACTCACTCTGGAACTTCATGAGGGTATAATGCCCCTTTGGATGCTGAGGGGGCGGCTTAGACAAATCTGCAGTGAACACTTCCTTGATCTCTTCATTGGCTTGGTAATCAGCCAGTGCCCGGGGTGACCACCCGTGGACATCTGGCTTATCAACATCAGCTCCTTGTTCCACCAGGAACTTAACAATCTCCACATTCTCTTCAGAAACCGCCATGTGAAGTGCTGTCGTTCCCAAGCTGTTGAGAAGCGTCGGGTCCCCTCCGTATTTCACAAAGTCCTTTAGCAGTTCTAAGTTGGCTTGCTCGACTGCAGAGCACGCGAAGTGGGCAACGTCCCCTGACGATAAGGTTGCCCCATTGTCTATCAGTAGTGTTATAACAGCTCCATGCTTCTCAGTTATTGCATCCCATAAAGGGACAATGCCTTCTGAATCTGCATTGTTATATAGTATATGTTGAGCATATTCGTCAAGGTGGAGATGGTTGAGTTTGTCTCATACTAGGAATAAGAGTGAAACGGGTAATCCAGCATAAACAACAACAACCTTTACCTCTTTTATTTGGATCAGCTCCATAATCCAGGAGTAAAAGTACACATTCTAGGCTTCCTTTTGATGCTGCAATGTGCTGCAATATAGAATATATGAGTGATGCAAAAGTGGAAATTGAGAGGAAACTAAAAGTTGAAGCTAATTAAGAGTTAAGACGACGTACGAGAGCTGTACGTCCATTGGCATCAGACTCATCGGGATCCATGCCCCGTTTGAGCATTTGGTTCAACAACAGATCATCCCCTCTATTAGCTGCAAAGCATAAACTGAGAGGCATATCCATTCTTCCCTGAGCCAACATGTGCTCAGTCTCTGCCAAGATCGATTCCATCATTGGGTCTCTTCTTTCTTTCAGATGCTGAAGGAGATTGTTCATTATAGTTGTGCCATCCCCTACATTTGCTTTAACAGTATTGAAGAACGAAGTTCGATCCAAACGTAGCAGCTGGCTAAGTCTTTTTGTGCGAATCGTAAACAGTTGTGGGCGGTAGCATAGGATCCCTATTTCTCCACACACATCTCCTGCCTTCAACTCTCCCACCACCTGATGTACTCCATTCCTTTGAGATATCACTTCCTACATGCCACAAACATATTCAAAAACCTTAATTCAATCCAACTAACTAATTCAAATCTGTTATGTTAGTTGGTGCTGCTAATTGAAGCATGTGCTCCATCTCAACTAAAAGCCTAAGCTGATAGTTGGATTGCACATTAATGGCTATATGCTCAACTGCTTACCAGTGAGCCGGTTACAAGTATGTACAAATCTGTTGGTGCTTCATTTTGCAATATCACATCTTCTCTTGGAGGGAAATACTCCGCTTTCATCAAAGACACCTTCAAATATAACATAACATTGAGTAAGACTGAAAATGGTGATTATTGAAAGAATTGAAATGAAATTGTATTACCAATTGAAAGAGCAAATCGTCTGAGACTCCGTGGAACAAATAGACCTTATCAACAAGGGAATAGAATAGAAAATGAGAAATGCTGGATCTAATGGCTTTTGGCAGTGCATCTAGTGTTTCTTGCTGCTGCAGCCCTTCTGCATCGGTTCTATACCTCAAACTCAAGTGGGCTAACATCTGATCCTGTAGCCGAACTGGCAATTGGTTTCTTTGCCCGAAACTCGTTGCAGCTTGAATACTATCCCTCTGTTGTTGCAGATCAGAGAAGACTGAGGATTAGGATTAGGATTTGATTAAGGTACATATATGTATCTATTAATACTCACAAATTTCCTGGTTCTACTGGTTACATGAACAACCAAGTTGGTCATGTTCCCAATCAGATAAGCTGTCAACCCGAGATCAAACAGCATGTAAACCATCACAAATATCATTTCTGTCGTCGTCACCGCGTGCAAATCCCCATACCCAGTTGTTGTAAGGGTTGTAATGGACCAGTATATTGATGTCACATAAAGAGTCCAAATGCTATCATTCACACCACCATTCATGGTTAACGAAAGCCACGTTTCTTTTCGATTCGGGTTCAGCGTACCAATATGATAGTAAAAACACCCTGCACAGTGAACTGTAAACAGAGTAACCTGCATTGCAAACCCCCCCAAAACAAGCTAAATTAATCAAACAACTTTATTTCTGTAACACATTTTCAAGATGTTGGGTGCTGAATTTAGCCTTTTAAGCCACCGGCTGCTAGACTTGGCCTTTACTGGCCTCTGCCCAACAATATACAATCTTAGATACGATGATATATAAAACACTTACACTTATAAGCTTTGCAACCCGAACCCAAAAATAACTAAAGTTCTTATCTTTCTCCAACCTGCAATACCAGACAGACAGATTATATGGTGAGGTGAAATCACTTTCATATATATATATATATATATATATATATATATATATATATATATCTTAGAAGAGAAGAAAAACATATTAATTATACCTTGCAAACATGGAACTGACCCTCCTAAGACGCCAGAGGCGAAGCATAGTAAAGTAGCCATAGGGTTGTAAGTAGCCATGGGGTACAACTTCAGAAGGGATTGTGGAAATCACATCAAAAAAGAAACCGCTTTTTATGTATCTCCAAGCAATCTTTTTTGGGTCATCAATGAGAAGATAAGTAGTTTTATCAAGGTAAGCAACAAAGAATGTCAACACAATATCTATAGCAAAAACTGCATTCACAACATTGTCACAGATAGCAAGAGGTCCATTTGGCGTTTCTAGGAACCCAAACTCAAAAGGAGATACCCATGCTGTGTAGAACACAAGTAGTACTAGAAATGTCTCCCAGTTCCTGCATCCATTAGTATAATTATATATTACTTACAAACTCTCTCTAAATATATCACAAAAACAATATATTGTTCTCAAAATTTAAAACCCAAATTCAAAAACAATATATACACTCTTCATCACATATAATATATGCAACAAAACTCTGGTCTCCGGGAACCCTTCGCCTTAAAATCATTTAAATCATATCTCACATACCCAGAATATATAAGAAAAATGGGAGCTGAGCTTGGGTAATATAATAATAATGCCTACCCTTTTGCTACAATACACTGCTGAAAATTATGGAATTTCTGACCACCTGAAAGTGATTTTAAATCAAGTCGAAAGCCTTATTCTGACCACTTTTGGTATCCGGAAAAACCTTTGTTACTATTTCCAACCACTTTTTGCTTTCGACTTGATTTAAGATCACTTTCAGGTGGTGGGAAATTCCATAGTTTCCAGCAGTGATATGATGTTTTGTCAAGAAAGGAAATAAGAGATATTTTTTATAAAAGCAAAATACATTCCATTTTCATATTTAGAAAGAGATATGAGAGTAAAACACATTTGAGAATGAAAATTATAATGTGTATATATATGAACATGCATGCATTATATACAAACAGATTGTTGTATTGAAATCTCCACCTTAATTAGCTTGATCAAGATTCAAGATTACATTTTCAAAATATAATCCCACAAATATATGTATATATAAACAAGACATTCATAATTATTCCATATGGAATAGAGGGAGGGAGAGAGAATATATATAAATACCTGTAATAGGGATCAAAGGGGGAGATGATGGCGCTGCGCAGACTAGCCTTGCGGTTGCTGCTAAGAGCTCCAAGAGAAGGAAGAATGTTGTTGTTTAAGCTATATTGAGAGCTCATATGAGAGCTCAAATCATCCTTTGCCGAGAGTCTCTCTATCTCGCAGTCGATTTCTCTCATCCCACACATTAGCTTCCCCTTCCAGGATGCCCCCTTCGTTCTATTCTTTTCACTATTCATTATTATTCTTGCCACACACAAGCATATATTATATTAATATAATATATGCATGTGTCTGGCCGTCTTCCCTCGTACGTCTGCACAGCATGCAGCGGCTCGGCCACCGGAACCGCCGGTCGCCGACCACTACCGCCTCGTCAGAACGTGTCTTTCTTGCCTTCCCTTCTCTAGTTGAAGAAAAGTTTTCTGTTTTCTGTTTTTTCCTCCGGGCTGTTCGTTGCTTCCAACACAATTATATATTTATTGTGATTCTGTGGTTGTGAGGTACGGTCATCAAAAATCACAGACCAATGATTTTGTCGCTGTGGTATTTTGATTTTCCATCTCCGTTTAGGGTATCCCATGCATATTGGTTCTTGCATGGGATTTTCTTGGGCACACCTGTAATTTTGACAATGCCAACCACCTACATTTCATTTAATGCGTCCAATTCTAAAAAAAAAAAAAACAAGTGGATTTAATTTGATTAAGATTCAATATTAAAAAACTGTATGAGAATGAAAAAAAAAAAAAAAAACATTTTGTTTCTTATTACCTATGTATATATATTTTTTGAAAATTTTAAAATTGATCCTATCAAAATATATTGAATTAGAATTATATATATTGTGCTTTATTGGTTATTTGTGCACGTTGTGCTTTATTGGTTTTCATGCATACTCTTGTAATGATTGTGTATTTGGGATGTGCATTTGAATTCAAAAGTGTGTTGTTTTTCATTTTATCTTGTAATTGTGTGTGAAATGTGCAGTGACAACTTCAATTCTTTAAAAAAATTTAAAAATTGCTTCTTTAAACCTTTGTGGGGATTGCATAAGGCCAAACTAGGTTTATATTTCTTGCACCATTGTTTGAGATTCAATCCATTTTTTTCTTGGACCTTGGTATCTTGGATCCTTCCAAATGGGAGTGTACATGAGATTTGGTTAGTGAAAAAATAAGGTAGTATGACCCGGAATTGAACAAAATTTGGTATAACATGAGACAAAATGTAAGGTTTTCTTGTGGTGAGCTTGTGTGAATCCCTATTCCCAAAGAAAAGGCATTAGGGGAGGCAAAAGAGTCAATTGAAAAAGCTGAGACTTTAAGCTATCTTTGCTTGAGTGAGAAAAACATGAGGTGAGTCATCTCGTAGGGCGAGGCAACCATTGCACTCTTCGAATTCGTGTAGAACTCTACGTGAAGGTGGTTGGCTCGACGGTGTGTCCTAGAGGTGTTGAGAAGAAAAGAGATATCTTTCATGCTTAGCCAAAATGCGTGGAGAGGCTCATGTCATACCTTCACATGTGGCAAAGTCGATGAACTTGTGTACATCGTTCCCATTAGTACATTACATTACATTCTTATTGGGTCTTTGGGGCCAAATGTGGCAAAGTTGATGAGCTTGTGCACATCGTTCCCATTAGTCGCTTCTCCTTGGAAGGCCCTTGAGAATTGTGGATTGTTTCCTTTGCTTGCTTGTTTGGTGTGTAGAGAGGTGTCCCATGTGAAAACGTTTAGGAACAACACGTTATTGACTCCTTTTGTATAGCTTGACTACATGACTACTTAAGTTGTATGATTGCATTGAGTGTATTTGGTACTTATATTGGCTTGTCCTTGTATTGTCTTGCTTGAGGGCAAGCAAGGTTAAAGTGTGGAAACTTTGATAAGTGTCAAATACACTACGATTGTGGGATGTTTGGGAGGAGTTTTGTGCTTTAATTGTTGTCTTTAGAATGGTCTAATTGTTATAAATTGAGTTAAGGACTAATTTTGTGTACTTTTGTGTTTGTTAGGCAAAAGGGACCAAAGCAAGGGAAATCTATTTAAGAAAGGAGCCAAATTAGAAAGAACGCGGGATTGGACCATCACGCGAAGCATTACCACGTGACTTAGAGCGTGATACCAACTTTAGAGAGGTGTTTCTGCTATTCATGCCACACATCATGTCGTGGTGAAGCTCATGACACCAACTTCAGAGGACTATTTCTACGAATCATACCACACCTCATGCAGTAGGAGAGCTCGTGATGCAAACTTCAGATAACGATTGTTGCTAATCACGCTAGCCACCACGCGGTAACTCCGCTTGTGATGAGTAGAAGCCACATACTGGTTCTGCTTGTCACGCCTCTCATCACGAGGTAACAGGCCTCGTGATGAGGAGGCAATCACGGTATGATTGGCTCTTCATGTAAGGCATTACTGCGTGAAGAATCGTGTGACGTGGAGTTAAATTTCAGCTATAAATAAGGCCTTGTTCTCATTTGCAAGAGTAATCTAGATTTTTACCAATTGTTCAAAGTTGTACTTTAGAGTTTAGAGAGAGAATCCTCCCTAGGGTTCTTGGAGAAACTTGACACATTGATCTAAAGATTCTAGAGGGATTCCAACTACAACTGATTGAAGAATTGCTTGCATTGCATTGGAGATTGTTCTGGGAGATAAGTTGTTTACTCAGTAAATCAACGATTTGGTCCCTAGATTGTTGGCAAACTGGCAATGTTGTCCCTCAATTCCATATTCATCAATTTGATCCTCGAAATTAATTATTTTTGGTCGAATAAGTACTTGCACTGTGTTCCGTCATTCAACCGGTAAGAAGTCCGATTTAGCATGGCCATTTTGGTCATTTCCAATCTTCATCCCTCTTCTTAGTTGGCGACGTCAGTTCCAACGTGGATGTAAACGAAGTGGGTAAAATCCTACCCAAGAGTATCCGAATTGCCGCTCTAGAGGCAAAGCTCGAGGTCGTCCTGAGAATTCCCCTGAAGACACGCTCGGAATGGGTGTTCGATTGACGGAAGGAAAACGGTGTAGATTACTTTGTTCTCATCACCGTCGTTGTCGCCATGAAGGAAAACTCGTCTCGAAACGGTGTTCCAATCTTGAACCAGTGGCCAAGATCATCTGCAGGTAGTTGGCGACATCGTAGGGGCTTTTCCCTGACGAGCATGTGGCTTCTACTGGCAACTGGTTCAAAAACTTGACATTGTAAACCTATATAGGTTTCATGTAGAAGATGGGGTCCATGCCTTTCCGGACGAGGTCGCGACAGCGTGTCAGTCGGAGAGTGGGGATCGGCAAGAGGATTTCGGATAATCGCAAAATAGAGTAGGTCACGGCTGGAATTTTGCCGCTGGAGAACAGCGGAGTGAACCACATGATCCATTAGGGTTCAGTGGGTGCAGACGAAGAGCACGTCGGAGTCGGAGCCGGAGGCGGCCATCACCGCCTGCTGCGACGGCTTGCCTTTCACTATAACTTTGCCTCCTAACAATGGAGCTATGATAGGAATGATCCATATGGGGAGAAGTAGCCCTTGCTGCGGCGGCTTGCCGTTTAGCAACGCCGTCCCCGGTGTCGGCCGCTTTGCCAGGCAGCCGTCGTGGAAGAATCTTCATCCCTCTTCTTAGTTGAACAAAGTGGCCAGCGATGAAGATCAGAAATGACCAAAATGTCCATGCTAAATAGGACCTCTCACCGGCTGAACGACGAAGCACGGCCAGAAGGACTTATTCGACCAAAATTAATTGATTTTGGGGATCAAATTGATGAATATGGAATTGAGGGATTACATTCAGAATTCGCCAACAATTGAGGGACCAAATTGTTGATTTTTCCTTGCAATTTACTTTCATTTTAAATGCTTCCATTGATTCTTCATTCCAGTTATACAATTGTGACAATGTGTAGCTAATTCTTAATGGATTAGGATTAGGTTTACTTGTTAGGATGCTAGAATGTTCTTCTGACAACCCAAAATTTAATTTTATAAATCCAATTTTAAGAAATTCTAAAATAGTCATTTTCACTCTATTAAATTTTTTTTTTGAGATAAATTGGTGTTGGAATAAAATATTAGGAGTTACATTTTAAATTAATTCAACACCGAAACTTATTTTAATTCCAAATCCTAAATTTTTGGGTACTTCGTGTACCAAGTTTTAAACTGAGAAACCAATATGAGTGAGACCGGGAGAAACCTGAACCAAATGTTTGTTTGGAAGTCATCTTTGGAAAAATCTATTTTTGACCCCCAAACTATTTAAAAGTCATCTTTCTAGACTATGGTTCATGAAGCTTGGTGAACCACATTCCTCCAAAAACCTTCCCTGATTCATCTCTTGGCCAAGCAAATTACCATTTTGCCATCCACCAATCATTGTTGAGCTTCCTAGGGTTTTGTGCCTCTATATATTAGAGAGACATCAGACATTTGCCTCTTGACTCCCAACCTTGTCTTCCCCAAAGCCTTGCAAGAGAACCAAAAGAAAACACAGTAAGTTTTCCCTTCCTCCATTCATCCATTTTCCATCTAGCTTCCATCCCTTATCCTTCTATCTCTGAGGTTCTAGTTCTTAAGAGTTGTTGTGTGGTTTGTTTGTGAAGTCTAGGTGGTGAAGGAGGTAGTGGCTGACTTGGGAAGAAGGAGGAATCCCAACAAGAAGAAGAAGTTTACAAAGGTATAACCCCATGGACTCCCACTTTAGATTTTGGCTCTGTGAAGCCTTGTTTCTTAGGTAGAAATGAGTAGAAATGCCAGATTTTGATGTGTTTGAGCTAGGAAGTGATCTATTACTTGTCTATGATGTGTTGATAATGTTTTGGATGAGTTGGAGTTGTTTGAGCTTGATTTGCATACGGAAGTAGATCATCTGGTGCGCAGACAGTGTGCACCAGATGAAGTGACGGCCCTAGCCAACGGCCCAACAAGGGGACCGTTGGTTAGAGCCGTGGTCGGCCGGGCCTAGGGCACGGCCCTAGGAGAGGGCCGTTGCCTAGGTTCGGCAATCTAACGGCCTGAGGGGGCAGGCCATGCTGAGCCCCGCCCCATGGTCCCTGAGTTATATTTGTGCAGTGGCCGGGCCCTTGTGGCTCAGCCACGTGTCGTTTCAGACCAGGTGTCACGGACCCTTGTGGCTCGGTACCCCGGGGCCGTCTTAGCGCACGTTTTGGCTTTGATTTTGTTGAATTTGGATTAGAAATGAGCATATTATGATGGATTTAGGATGAATTTGCTTCATAATAGTATGAATTGTGTTCAATGCCTTTGGAAATTACTGTGTGTTATCTTCCTAATGCTAGTTGTGTATTAAATAGAGAAGCATGAACACTTTGTGAATAAGAATTATTAGAAAAGCATGACTAGAATGTGTTGTATGATCAATGGGATTTGAAGCCTATTTTGATGGTAGAAATGTACAGAGCATGTCTTTTTGCAAACTAGCATGATTGTATGTTCTTGAGAGTTCTATGTGATATATATGGATTTGTAGCATGTTGTACAGTAATTTGCATTCCAAGTATATCATGTTTTAAAAGTGCATAAGTGGCCAAGGTGAGCCTAAGTATTAATTTCAAAAATTCATGAGCATGTGGTATATCATTATCTTGTTGCATTGAGAAGTTGTTGAGATGTGGCATGCATAGGTTTGGTGCATGATATATATATATATATATATATATATATATTATCCATATCAGTGAGGTTTTAGAGGGCCCGTTGGGACTATGTCCTTTCGGAGTAAAAGAGAAAGTAACGGATATTGCGATCCGACAGATTTATCATGTAACGCGGTGCATTCCCACGTTACGAGGTTGGAGACTGCCCGCCAGGCTTGGAATCCTGGTTAGGGGGTGTGCACACTAAAAGTACGATACCTGATTCCACAGAGTATGAGTATTGGAACCACGAGATTGGTTCTGTGGGCGAGTTGAGTATGTGGCCGGCTAGATTGTCGAGCCGGTTAGGTCCATTCACGATTCGTGAAGACCTACCTCCCCACGAGTTAGAGGTTTCGTAGTTACGGATGTGGCGGATGCACGAGATTGCACCGTACGCTAGGGCTTCGCTGCGGCGGAGTACCTGCCTCGCACAAGAAGAGAAATGAGAAGTATGAGAAAGTTTGAGCAAGAAAGATATCGAGTCAAGAGACTCAAGAGAAAGAAAGCGAGTCTTCGTGACTCTAAGAAACCTCTACAGATCAGAAAAGTATTCTATTTTACAAACGAGTGCATGAGTATACTTATAGTATTGCACGCGATTGCATAATGAGAATGTTTGCACGAGATTGCATTTGAGTATAGTATTGCACTAGTTTGCATATGAGAATGACTAACCGAGATTGTATATTGAGCATGATTGCTTTAGTTACATTTTGGCGTCCTATATATCCAGTTTGCATGATGAGAACTTGAAAGCATGAAGATAATTTCGTATTGGTTGTTAGTATGAGATTGATTGATAGAATGAGTTCGTTATGATGAGATTTTTTATGGGAAATATGTGTTGGAGTATTTATGTTGATGAGCTTTATATATTTGAAGCATGTCTGTTGATATTATTGGTTGCAAGCATATAGAAAGTCTGTGATGTATCTTAAAGTTGTCCAAGTGTTGAGATTGCTTGATTAGAGTTTGTGAACAAATGTTTTTCCAAAGTATATACTGTAGTACTTTACAGGGTTGAGTGTGGTATACTTAGCTTCGTGCTAACGGGTGTTTTCCTCCTTGTCTACGTGTTGTTTTGCAAAACCCTTTTCAGGTGGGCCCAGCGTTTGAGAGATGATCGGGTTAGACTAGTCTAGTAGATCTAGTAGTCCAAACTCTCTTTATTATTATGTTGTTCTTTGACGGATTGTAGACTTTGAAGTTTATGTTTGATGTTAGACATCGGGGTGTTTATCCCCCAAAATGACTTTTAAGTTAAGTAATTCGAATGTTAGTTTGGTTCAATGATTTAGTTCCATCCTTAGCATGTGCAATCACCGTGGAGAGGTGGTTGTGGCGGTGACATTCCCACTAGTTCATTATTTAAGTTATTTATCCGCTGCTTAGTTTATCTTGATTTTGGTATTAGAACTGTAATTAAATTTAAGAAAAGTGGGGCGTTACAGTTTTGATTGCAATTAGGAACTGACTTGATGTATTGACTTAATTCTTGTTTGTTGGAAGTGGACTTTGTATAGACTATTGTATGGTAATGGCCACATTATCATGCAATAGGTATTGGAGGTGTGTAGGTTCTAAGAGATTGGGGCTATACTATAGCGTAATCCACTTGTATTTCCCACCCAGCACCAAGAGGTGGAGCTCGGAAGAAGATGTGGACTCTAAGTGTTCGATGAAATGTCTCAAGTAGTATGGTTGCTATGAGAGTAGGGCTCTACTACTTGATAGGCCAAATAGACCACGAGAGCGTGGCTTTGGCAATGGAAACATCTTCCAAGAATCATGATCAATGCATTACACTACTTCCTATACCTAGGCAATTCTATTACATCCAACCAAGGAACACCTAGTCCAAGTTCCCCTCCATTCACTTGATTTCAATTAGTTTGTTTACTTGATTCATTACATTTGCATGTTACTTTATTATTACATGTTGCTTTAATAATTATTTCTTGGTTAGCCTTTAGACTTAGCTTCCGAGTGCTCCTACGCCCTTGTGCTTAGCCACACATTGTTCCATTTTCATTCGTCATCCTTAGAGAACGACATCCCAGGGAACCTCCACCTTTCCCAACCTTCTTTCCATCCCACGCATACTATGATTATCAAAATGGCACTATTGTTGGGGATGGCAAACGATCTTTAAAAATGTGTTTACATCGGGTTGACATGAGCAAGCTTTCTAGAGAGGGAGTCTAGGACATTTCTTTCCCTTTACTTTTTCTTTTACTTTACCTTTCTATATTGCATTTATTTTACTTTGGCGTGTTTATTTTACGTTGTGTTTTTCATTCTTGTCTTGTGGTGTTCATTTGCTTTTCTTATTCCACTTTTATTACCTAGTTTTGTTGTTTTGTCTTGGTGCTTTTATTTTCTTGTGCTACTTGGTTTGATATTAACACTCTAAGCTTACTTGCAACTACTTTTAATTGCAAAATATTTGTCTTGTCTTTGTGATTGTAGGTTGATCCTTTATGATGTTTTCTTAAACAAGATTTCAGCAAAGGGATTACTATGCGGACCAAGGAGGATGTAGGCCACCAAGGGAGGCTATAATGCTCAACTTTCTAGCCCTATAGTTATGTAGATGATGAGGACAATAGCTCGCTTTTTCAAGGAAGATATGGACCTTCACAAGAAGAATATCAACCAAGAAGGCTACCATTAAGGACTTATGATGAGAAGGCATATGATGATGAGTATGACCAACCAAGGAGGCAACCACCAAGAGCTCAATATGATGATATCGGATATGGTAATTACAACTACTCAAGGAGAGCTTCACCACCACCTCAAGGAAGATCTGCATCTGATGATCCATTAGAGAGCTACCAAAAATCTTATTATGGTCATGATTATAAGCATTCAAGAAGGGCCCAACTACTAGAGAGAGACTTCTCTTAAGATCATTCAAGTGATTACCAACCACCTCGGTATCATTGGAATGATCATGAAGAGAGTTATCATGATCTTGAAGACTATACCTATGAGTACCGAGGAGATAGGAGTAGCAACTCTTATCAACTCGGCTTCCACCACCAAGTGAATGTTGTCCACCTAGAGATGAAGAGCCACAAGAAGGCTTTGAAGAGAAGTTTTTTATGCTAGAGTTGAAAGAAGATATGACTAGATTCCGGCAAGAGTGGAAGCAAGAGTTAAGGCATGAAATGTCCTCCCAAAGGCAAGACACTCAAACCTCACTTAGGGATTTGGAGAATCAAAGTGCTCAAGTGGCCATGTAGGGAAATGAATGGGAAAACACTTGTGTGGAGGAGACAAGTGAAAACGAGGGAGATTTTTAGGAGAAGAGGTAAGAAAAAGAAGAGGAAAGTGATGAAGATCGTGGTAGAAATCGTGTGGGAAAACAAATTGCCTACTTCTGGTGAGACTCTTGATTCACCTTATGGTAACAATCTTGATCCTACTTATGGTAATACCTATTATAGTACTTGTGCTCAAACTTGGGGTGATATGTGTGATGATGAATTTGCTTGTGATGATATTGGTGTGCCTATTTGTATTGATAATTGTAATGTTGATTGTGTTAGTGCTTGTTTTGAAAATATTGTTATTGATGTGATTGGCGAAATTGTGAATGATGAAGAGGATGTGAAATTGGATACCATAGAGGCAGGAGAGTGTGAAAAAGGAGTTGAGGAGAACAAGATGAGTAGTGACGATATTGATAAGATTGAAGAGGCTTTGGAGGAAAATATGTCAATTGAGGAGACTAATTGCAAAATCAATAAAGAAGAAAGGGGAGTGAAGACGAGGAAGTTGAAAAGAGTATGAAAGAAGAAGAAGATGAGGAAAAAGAGAAGAAGGAGGAATGTAAGATGTCTGAAGATTACGACATATTCTTAAAAGTAGTTCATTGCATATATTGGGAGGAGAATATGCATATAATGCACTTTAAGGAGTTTGTGATCACTTGAGAGCATATCTTGAAGATTGAGTGGATGGGGAGAAATCACTATTTTTCATCCAAGTGTTCAAGGATGGTCAGTTGTAAGTCGCGTCAAGCTAATGACGTTAAACGCGACGCTTCTTGGGAGGAAACCCAAGGTTATCTTAAATTTTTGTTGTTCTTTTCTCTTTTTTTTTTTTTTTTATTGTTTTGTGTGATTTTTCATTTGCTAGGCAATCTTTTGTTGGTCCTAGATTTTCGTGAGGAGGTACTTCGATAGAAAAGCAATCAAAGAAGAAGAGGAATGCACTCAAAGAGTAAAAAATAGGTCAGTTTTATTTTAGCTTGATCGCGTAGGGAATCACGCCGTGATAAAGTAAATTATCAATATTGAGGTGGAAACGTGCATTGAGTACTTGTCTCGTAGTATTGATATCAAGTTGATCGTGTAATGTTGACCCAACCTGCCCACATGGATAGGCACTAATGAGTGCCATGTTGTGTTGGCTCAGCCTACATTTTAAAAATCAAAGTATGGTATGACCTAGTTAATCTATTAAAATATTTAAATTCTTAATTTTTAAGTCTATAAACTATAATGAGTAAATACCTAAAATGGTCCCTCGACTATGTCATAATTCACAAATTAGTTCAAGACTATCAATTTTACCAATTAAGTCCTCAACTATTCAATTCGTACTCAATAATTCACAAATCAATCCTTCGTTGAGGACTTTGTTGAGTAAGAATTGAATAGTTGAGGACTTTATTGAGTAAGAATTGAATAGTTGAGGACCTTATTGATTAATGATTGAATAGTTAGGACTTAATTTGCTAAACTTGATAGCGAGGATCAATTTATGAATTTTGCTATAGTCGAGGGACCATTTTGAGTATTAACTCAACTATAATTTATACTTTTTAAATTATAATTATAATTATAAAATTTGATTTTATTGCATATTTATATAATTGTTAAATTGTATTGTTTATCTACAATACAACTTTAATAAGAGCCAATAATGTCAGACCCCTAACGGTCACTAAAAAAATATCGGTATAACAATAGCTATAAAAGATTGTACTCTGTGCTCTTCCAATTGAACAATTCCAACTTAAAATCCTAATATATCCTCACTTTTTTAAGTTTTACCAAACTAAAACTGTCTAATTAAACAGATCTATTAACTTCGGTGGAAATTTTGAGGTTTAGGTGAAATTGGATGGCATTTAACTGCTGGTCTTCTTCAAACAAATTAGGGCAGCAAAAGTAGAAGCGAGAAGCACAATTCTCTCTGCCGACTACCCAAAGGAGAAGCACAAGCCGAGCCATTCGATATCCGACAACCGGAAGAATTTTGGTCTCTGCCGACTACGGAAAGGAGAAGTACAAGCCGAACCAGGTTTTGTTTTTAATCTGTGAAGATATGGCCGAGATTTTGATTTTAAATCCACTAAAGCAGTTCTGCTGGTAGATATCTAAGAATACAAAGCGCAAATAGTTAATAACAAAATATAGATAATACGATAGTATGTAGCGCATTGAACAACAACGATTAAAAATTTTAATGAGAAGAGCATAACCATGTTGGCGGTGGCTGAGCATTTTTTATATTAAAAAGCATTATATTTTTAGAATTTTATAGAATACTGCTGCAAACATGACTACTACTGCAAAGTTATATTTTTAAAGAATACTACAGATTTTTAAAGCATTATTGTTACATGTATCTTAAGAAAAACAATACCTTTAGTGTCCTTTAATTTCAATGTGTATTATTTTCTATGTAGAGGTTACTAAAGAAGTGGAACTTGCATTGACAAAGCTAGCCCTGCCAAAATTAATGCAAGGTTTGGCTTCATATATCATTGCTTATGGTTTTGAGGGAGAGAGTTAATTTTCTCCAATATTGTTTTTTCTGTTCTCATTCAACTATTTAAGCTTCCCTGGAGTTTCAAATATCCACAACTTATTAGGATATGGTGAAAGTGAGCTATGTTGGGATTCCAGAGACCTTTTCCTTCTTTCTTTGTTCTTTGTATCCCCAATATAGAAGGCAATTGCAATTGCTGATCAAGCAAAGTAAGAATTCATGCATCCCATAACTTTTTAAGCTTCTTTGGATTTTGAAATAAACACAATTTCCCTGGATTATGGTGACAGTGCTTTAAGTTGGAATTCTAGAAACCTTTTCTCAATCTCTTTGGTCTATTCCTTTCCTTTTTGTATTCTTATGAATTTTTGACAAGGGAAACACAAAAAGGCAACAGAAAAAAGAAAAAAGGAAAAAGAAAAAATACATAGGAAAAAATCCCCGATTTCCACTCTCAACCAGCAGAATTGTCCTCCTCCGGCCTTCTTGTACGGGTAAATTTTCCTCCCATTAAGTTGTATATGTGTAAACCTTGTTTTTTCATTGGCCTTTTATTGGTACAAGAAGATATTAAAAATATATTTATTTTGGATGAGATTCCAAGGTAATTGCTTCACCTTTTTCCTTCTTGTTTTGAGAAACTTCCTGATTTGCTTATACAATTGAAAGTAACTATTTCTAAAATACTTCATGCTATCTTAGGTTTCTAATGTCAGGAAAAGTTTAAACATCGTGAATTCAGCAGCAGATCAGGCAAACTTTCTTTTTCCCAAACCTTTCTCTACTAGTTTTCTTATATGTAAATTGAAGATATATATCATTGCAGATATGTGTTTCTTGATTATGTTTTCATCATATTAGGGGTTCAGCCAAGTTGTAAAAGAATTATGCAAACAATTAGGTTCCTGATGTGGATTTAGTGTTGTGTAGAATTCAGTGCCACAGGTAGGGTTTTGATATAGGGAGTTAGGTCTAGGGTTTACTGGATCACATTGTCCTGCGTGTGTTTATTTGAAAATTTCAACAACAGGAGGAAGAAGAGATGCTTGTGCCACACTCTGATTTGTTTTGAGGACAATATTGGTTTGAGAGATTATTGAGATTATCTTTTTAAAAGAGAAGTGATTTTAGCTGGGAATTTCCTACAGTTTATGAATTTCTGTATGTGACAATTAATTGATTAAGTATGATGTTAATAGTAATACCTTGTTAGATCTTAAATAAAATTTCATTATATTTGAAGTTTTTATATACTTTTAAATTTTTATATGTTTCACTATATCTCATAATTACAAGCAGAAGCTCAGGAAAGGCCTCTGGTCTCCTGAAGAGGATGAGAAGCTTATAAAACATATCACCAAGTATGGGCATGGCTGTTGGAGCTTAGTCCCCAAACTTGCAGGTCTTTTTTTAATTAACATCTATCACTTGATGTACAAAAGAAAGCATGAAATTTGGGTAATGAAAAAAATTTGATTTTGATGTGGTTTTCAGGTACGTAGAATTGAGGCCTGGTTTCAAAAGAAAGACATTTTCCCAGGAGGAAGAGAGTTTGATTGTTGAATTGCATGTAGTTTTAGGCAATAAGTAAGCACACTACTTTAATTTAATTTATTAGTCCTATAAATATTTTATTAGTGACCATTAATCTTGAAACTCTCCATTTGCCTTCTACTTAATATATTGTTTATGTTAAGCATATGAAGGGTTGTATGGATTAGTATAAATACATGTGAAGGCTTAATGAAATGGAGATCTTATGTTTGTGCTCTACATCTTGTGTCCTTCATCTAATCTCTTCTTACTTCTCTACACTTTAAAATCTTATATATATATAATCTCCGGGCAATTACCGAACAATCATCACGCGAGAACTGAGCTAATTGATATGCCAAATTACAACATGTTATCAGCACGAAATAATTGGGCTAAGTTTTTTGTTGCTAAGTCACAGAGCACCGATGCGTAGAAGGCACAAGCTCTCATTTTCATACGTCACCACTTGAACCACGACCTTAAAAAATGAGTATCTGATTGAAAAAGAACCCATTGAATTAATGGAAGTCACTGAAGGACTATTCCGACTAGAAGTCATCAAATGTTCTTCCTCAGACACATTTTGACTAGTTTAATCTTATGTTTAATTTTGATATTATAATGTAAGTCAGTGATTAACTATAATTCAGCTATGCACAAAATAGTCTCGCAAGTGAAACTCTAAACAAGAAGTTTTAGAGAAATATTTAATTGGAAAAACATTGCCAACTTTTCATGTGAGTAATTTGTACTCCAGTAGTAATACAAGATAACAAATTATGAGAAGCATCCTAAGCTAATTTAGTACTCCTTGTGGCTAAGAAACATAACTAGTTGTTGATGAAGAATCAAAATGCATATTTAGTTAGTTTTGCATTGGTGCGTGAAGCACATAATGTTACCTAGTTGTGTAACTTTATAAGGGGTTGCGGTCGAAATTATAACCGGTGTGGTATGAGTTTTGAGCTCAGAATAATAAATAAAGTGATCAAGATATTCAAGGATGACCAAACTCATCGAGGCAAAATCCTAGCCAGAAGCAGGTTTGCTAACAATGTGGGTCTAAAGGGCATTGATCCATACGTGCCGCACATCAAAGCAATTGGTCATTGGAGAATGAACCTCATCTTGATGATTCTAGATAATTTGTCTGCAGCAAATATTGCGATAAATGATGATAAGGAAATGATGAGGTATTGATGAAGAAATGATTGGTGTCATGATAATATTTTGAACAATGCATGAAAATATATTCATGGCCGAAAAAGTTAGTTCATGCCTGAAGCGTGAAGTATCCGAGTAGGTAGCTCATGCTTGAAGCATCCAAGAAGTTAGCTTATGCTTGAAGCATCCGAGAAGTTAGTTTATGCCTGAAGCATCCGAAAAGTTAATTCATGACCGCAATATTCGAAAAGTTAAGTTATTTTTGGATACAAATTATTATGAGGGCAAAGTGATTTTACTTTGCTGGTTTTACTACTTGGATTAACTATTCGAAATTTACTATTCGGGAAGTTTACTTCTCAGAGTTACTTCTCTTAATTTGCATGCTTATTTACTCAACTAGTTTTTTCACGCGCATTGCCCAATTGAGATAATGCCCAATGTTTATTTTTAAATAAGTACTTTAAAGTATATCAATGTAATATTATATATGATATGTTCATGGTGATTGAATGTTTGTTTTGCTTAGATAATATAGAAGATATTGATTATAATTGTCACTCAAATAATTGTTTGCAATTTTATAAAAACGTTAGTCTAAATACTTAGTTTAAAAACGATAGTCTCAATGGGTGATACATTTCAAACATATTTACTTCTCGAATCTCATTCGCCTCTAATTTGGTTCATTAGCATTCCAAAAATTTACCTCCCCGTATAATAAGTTTTTTTTTTTAGTTTGTGTAGGGATGCAACTTTTAAATACTATATCAAATATTATAAAAAACTTACAGGTGGAATGTTGTAAGGTGAGGAGCCAGACTTTTTTGATCGGGTCCAATCCGATTAACTCCGAACTTGGTTAGTGGTCACCTCTTTACAGAACACCAAGATTCTCAAAATTATATTTCCAATCAAATGATCCAATTCCAATCTTTATGACACTGAGCCTACAATAGCTAATCCGGAGTATAATTTACATCAATTCAATACAATACAATACAATGCAATCAATAGCAAGACCACAATTGATTGTGATGTGCTTACAAGAAAAATATCCAAGAATGGCATCACCTGTTTTGGGTTTCTGGTGCTTGGAAAAAGCACTTAAATATCCATTGGAATGACCTAAGCAACAGAGCTCTCTTTTTTCTCTTGAACCAGATTGCAGAGCTGTAATGTTCATTGCGAATCCTTCTCGTTGCTGCCCTCCAGTCATACTTCCCCATCTCCTCCCGTGCAGCTTTTCCCATTGTTTCTTGCAATTCAGGGCTCCACAGAAGAGGCTCCAGTTTATTCAAACAGTCATCAAGAACCTTGGGATTGTACCCGATCTTGCCTTGCTGGTCTTCTGGAATAATTTTTGGGATTCCCCCCTGCACGAGCAGCCACCACGGGGAGTCCAGACGACATGGCCTCTAAAACAAGTCCAAGCGTCTCGGACTCTGAAGGCATGACAAAAACATCTCCACTGACGTATGCCTGAGAAAGATCTTCCCCGAGTAGCATAACAGTAAACACTGCAGGCATGCCAGATAACATCTTCTCCAGCTCCTCTCTACAACGATTAAATGGAAAAAGTAATCACTTTGCGAATCAACAAATACTCGAAATCCTAACAATGGTCGTCTAACGTCTATTGTAGCATTACTTTAAAAAGCGAAAATAATGGCAGTCAAAATTTTTTGTTGTTTATCAGCTGAACTGTTGTGTCTAATGGACTCAACTACCTGTTCTACTTGGAAATGTTGTGATAGATATTGAGATACTCATCCTAGAATCCTAGGTTGTCTAGAATAACCACAATTTGGCCTTTTGGTGCAAGAAATTACTATCCTAAGAAACTTTGTATAGTAATTATTAGAGTTTCTGCAATTCTGAGAAATTCAGCAAGGCTTTCAGATGTCGATGCAACTCACCTGTATGGTCTATCCCCAATAAAAGCAATCTAAGCGTCTGGAAGCCTATCCATAATCCTGTTTTTAGGAATAAAAAATGTCAATGCTGCAGTTGAGCTACAGCCTGAAATGAAGATTAAACTCCAAATATAGAAAACATGCATTATAGTATTACGTTTGTGCTCCTCGGTGACCAATACCTCTTATTAGCTAAGAAAATACGAAGCCAACTAAACTCAAAGTTTGTAATTTCACCAGGCATTTAAGGTTATAATTAAAACCAATGAATTGGTATATTATCCTCGAAAGAAACAAGATAATCTACTAATAGGAAGATGGCAATGACGGCACAAGCAATTGTTAACACTCAGCTAAAATAGCATAGTACCTTTTAAGGAAATCCAAATTCTTCTCAACCCCAAGTCGTCCAACATGGATTATCAATGGCTTGTCAGGTTCCCCATTGCTAATTAAGAGAAACAAAACAAAAATGAGAGAACTGTTTTTTTTTTTAATCTGTATAATAAAATAATGTTGTAATTAAGCAGCCAGAAAAGACCAACCATCAATATAAACTATGCCCATGTCATGTCTAAAATCTATCAACTGCTGCCTTAATTGATATACAATATAATCCCTAATAAAAATGTTTAGAACTATATATAGCCACATAATTATCAGATTTGAGTTGTTTATCATCAGATTCTGCATATGCAATCATCACCCATGTCCACTAAAATTACAATAAATAAAATAAGTAGATTGTACAGAAAAGATAGAGAACAAAGGAGTGAATGTGGGAGAGAGTTCTTACATTGAGTGCAACGCGATGATCTGTTTCACTTACTTGCTTTAACTTGGCAGATTTATCTTTCACGAACTTAAGCCCTAACAAAATTGGGGATTGAATTACAACGCAAATCATCCAAAAGAAATCCACAATGTTAAAATAAGCCATATCAAACCAGAAGATTTGCTTGGATAAATTTTCGCCTAGACATCCAGGAGCATGGGGAAAGACAGATTTTTCTGGAGGGTGTGTTCAGAGGACACCCCTAAAATGTCAAAATACATTCTCAGATGGATTCGTGAAGTACTCTGGTATTAAATTGTCAGATACTCAGTTTGCATGGTTCAATAGCAGTATGAACCTTCAAGAGTGTGAGCATGTTTGCCTCAAAAATTGCTCTTGTACGACTTACTCAAAGGATAGTTCAATTCAATTGTACTCCCTAATCTTTATTTGTTCAACTCTACTCATT